CACGACAATATTGCCTTGCATTAGCATCTTGTAATACTCTTGAAATATAATTTTTTTTCCATACCTGAGTGGTATGTAAACTCTGTAAGCTCGAATGGTTTCGATCAGTCTGTGCGCCATCTTGGCGTTCATGCCCACCTCTATGACCAGGGAGACCCGGCCGGGAACTGACGGGCTACCGAACCCACACGACCGGTAGACAGTCCCGGCTGTGCCGCTGGTTCCACGGGGGACCTAAGCAAAATTAAACGGACTATTCTTAAAGCGATATTATGTAAGTTTTTGCGTAAGTTTGTGCGCTATTTCGCTTTGACTCGCCTTCCAGCGCGAGAATAGGTTACGCCAGGCCCGAAGGCCCCTAAAATGAATGTAAACAAACAACATTGCCGCGATCCGCGCTAGCGCCGAGGAGTTGGCAGTTTTCCAACACGTTTTTGCGGTGCAACAACGTTGATGATTACTCCCCAAATGTCATTATGAACCCAGGTAGGCTTATAGTGCAAGAAAATGTGTAAAACAATAATGTTTAAAATAGTGAAAATCTAACATTATATCGCTTTGAGCGTACACAAATCCTGGTCATGTAAAGGGGACCCATAGCGACCAGCACTGTCACCCCATGTAGCTGGGTCGAAAAGAGCGGTTCTAGTTTGTAGTGGCACTTATGAACTCTAATCTCTAGATAGTAAATAAAGTCAAGTGTGTGGTCATTTTGCCTAAAGAAGGTTGAAAACGGTGCAACCTGTGATTTAAATACTGCAAAACATATGTGATGGTTTCATTTTCATGAATTCGTGTTTTTGTGGTACAACATAGTTTCGACGGGGAACTGATGTTAGATTTAGTCATTTACATCTGAGTATTTTTCCAAACCTTTGCTTGGTGCAACTCCTCTATATCCTCTGCCGCCCAGGACAGCTGAGTGATCTTCTTCTTCGCCAACTCGTCCATCAACTGGTCCTTTTCGCTCCAGCTGAGTCCGGTTGGTTGAAAGGGATGGAACTCGCCATAAAACCTGCAGATTCAACAACGACAACGACAAACGGGCATCATGCTCCATTTAGAACTTACATCATACATCAGACGTTAAATGAGAAAACACTAGCCAGAACATTAGCCCTATTCACACAATGTATGTTCCTTGCCAACTTTAACTATAATTGTTGTATTACTAATATCGTGGTCAAATTCGTGGAAGGCCGTCGTACAATTTTGATGTAATAGAATTTCCAACCAAAGGTAAGAATCTACGTCGAAATTTTCCTTTTCATCACAACTGAATTTTGTTTTCGACATAAAAATTGAAATGACTTTTGATCTGTGGGATTTTGTCAAAGCATTGCATACGTAAGTTAATACCATTTTTCACACTTAACCCTACCTAGACCGGGGGGGGGGCTAAAAAGTGCCCGCGGCAACTTTGATGTCACCTAGCGTCGGAACGGCTATCCGTAGAACAGCCAAACTTGGTGACTTTTCCTAGAATATTGTTGGCAACAATTCTTTATCATTGGAATAAGATAATAATTTTTTGTGTTGCCATGGCAACGGGTTTCTGACAGGCATTTTTTTGCTAAATTTAGTACTTTTTGTTTCAACAATAGAGTTTTATGGGTTTTATGTCAAGTTACTCATGGTTTCTAATATTAATAACATCGCTGATAATTTTACGTAAATTTCATCATTAAATATGCATAATTTATGCTAATTTGATGACGTCATTGGCCAAAATCCAAGATGGCGGACCATATCATTAAAACAGGTATATACAGGTTATTTTCATTAAAATTTCATCAATACTTCCATTTCTTTTTCCAAAAAAGGTGTAAATGAAGGTCGTTAGTATGTTTACATTGTATTTTAGGCTTTATCATGAAAAAAAAACTATTTCTGAAAATTCAAGATTGATGATCCAAGATGGCGGATATCTTAAATATGCATGACGTCATTTTATGACGTCACCGGTGTTGCTATGGGCAATATAAGACTTAGTACATCCTAATATTCTGTCATAATCACTTTTGGTACAGTTATGTTGAATACCATTTAGTTTTCAGGGAAAAACCTATTTAGACGGTTTTGGCCAATAAAATCACATTAATGACGTCATAATGACGTCATATTACGTCATAACGACATAAAAATTCTGGATATGATAGATTTTCACTAGTACACCATTCTCTGAAAATTTGGTGGTCATACGACATACCGTTCGCGAGTTCTTAGGGGGGGGGTCAAAGAGTCCCCCCCCCGGTCCCCC